AGGCCGTCGCTAAGAGGTTGGAGGCCATCGCTATTAGATTGGAGGCCATCGCTACTAGGGTGGAGGCCATAGGGTCATAAAAGGGCGAGGGTTTCTGATGTCTCTGTTCTTCTTATCCGGATCACAAAGCAAATTCAAAACTTTAAAATACGCCGAATGACAGCTCTAGTCTGCGGAGCGCATGGCGTTGTTTCGGCGCATGGCAGCGAGTTGTGCTCGGCAGGGTTTTGAATCAAGGAGCCATTAAAGGGGAAACAAGAAGTCCGTCTTCTTCTTTTACCTTTGAATAGTTTACCTTAGGAAAACACCTCTTTGAAGTAAACAACCTCTTTTCCTTCTTCGACTCTCCTTCTTCTCTCCTTCTTGGAATTTAGATTTGCTCTTTCCTTTCCTTCCGGCAAACTTGAAGCTTGAGCCGTGTGCATCTGAATCTTTTCGAAAACACATTGACACGGCAATTTGGTTTTGGACATGTTGCTGACACAAGAAGCATTTGCACGTTAGCTCAGCATGCCGTGCAAAACAATCCAAAGGACAGATCACTTACTTGCTTTCTTGTGATGGTTGCTGAACGACATCTTCCAGAAAATCCTCTTTCCTTACAATTTCATTCCTCCCGCTTTGAGCGGTGCTGTGCCAGCTTCTCAACAATCCTCTGGCTGATCCTGTCCAAAGCCCCAAAAAACACATCCAAACTAACATGGTTTAACTCGCGGAACAGGGGCAAACCGTGTTCTCTGTGAAATTCTCTCCAGCTCAAGCCTATTTCCCCGCCTTTGTGACAAAGCGCAATGATTTTGCAGTATGAACACCTGTTCAAAGGCTGGATCTGGATTGACCTGCTATGGGTTAGCATTAAATATACCGCTGCACATCCTAATGAGTTGAAGCCACAACAGCGTTGAAAACCTTTTTTTGCAGAATTACCATCCGCAAGCGTAATTTAAGTGAATGCCAACTGACACTCAACAGGTGCTAACCACGAAGTCCAAGGCTCGAACATTTTGCGAGGCTTTGACTCGTTGAGAGTGAAACTGGTCCTCAATGCGACAAGCAAGCAACGCTGGTGCAATGCTGGTGCAACTCCCGTACCGTGTAACACACTGTCACACACCGTAACAGTCAAACTTTTGCGCCGAGCAGTTGTGCAACGGTGCAATCTCTTCGAGGCTGCGACGACCGACAAATCGGAGCTATCGAGCTCTCCTGCGCAGCAAAATGGAGAAGACTAGACAAATCAATTGAGCAAAGGAAGGGTCTAAATAGAATGAGAAATGCAAACCACTAACTATAGAGCTAATATGAGCTAATGAAAGTGGAACACACTAATCAAGGACAAAGGCCATCGCTATTAGGTTGGAGGACATCACTCTTAGGTTGGAGGCCATCGCTCTTAGGATGGAGGCCGTCGCTACTAGGGTGCAGGACATCGCGGAATCTGCCAATCAGCCGGTCGGGTCCTGAGGCGTTCCACGGTGGAGTCTGCAAGGCCACAGTTTTCCAGTTCAATGCTGCAGCCCCGGTCCAATGGGAACGATTTCAAGAGCTCAGCCTCAACGAAGTGTATGATGAACGCAAACTGTTTCAACTAAACATGTCCCTAAGATCAAAAGGTCATAGCAAGCAGTTACTACTAGTAAGTAAGCATCAGTCCGTGTATATATATATATATGTATCAAGAACCCAAAGAGAAGGAACAACAACAATGAAACACCAGCAAAAACAAAAACACAAAAACACACATGTTTTGTTTCATGAAGACAACCAGTGATTCGACATGTTTCAATGAACGGCACTTGTGCCGTCTTCTCGTCGCCAAGGTACCCCAAGAAGTGCTGCAGAGGAGCAACCTGCCAAGTCGATGTGACCTCGAGATGTTTTCTTGTTTTCTTTGTTTGCTTTTCCGATATGTTCTTTCTTTTGCAGATATTTCATTGGCTTGTGTTTCAGTCTTCCTTTTTTGTGTCGCTGTAGTGCATGTGATTTGCATTTGTTTTTTTTCCCAGCCAAAGTGAAGCCCAAGGGAGGAAACCGACGGGCACTGCAGCTCGGACTGGTCTCCACCCCAAGAGCAAGAAAGGCTGGGTTTTTGTCTCCTTGCTTTTTCAATAAGAATCCTCATCGAGATTGCATCCTTGCCGCGATGTTTTGGGTTTGAGAGCCTGAACAAGAAATGGTTGAGATTGTATTCGTGGAATTTGGCGGACATGTCTGGAATGTGGATGGGGAGAAACAGGAGTAACGCGGGATAAAGTTCGATGAATCTGGTTCAGTTCGGTTGCCTTCGCTCCCAACAGCAAAGAAGGAACCGTTATATACGACAAAAAACAAGAAACATGAAAATTATGGCCAATTTCAGCCACCAATTCGTGAGAGCCAAAGTGCCCCTAGCTAATCTGCTCCCGCGGAATCATGCAATGTGCGCAACAGGTGCCGCTGGCGAAAGGCATCGAGAGGCACCAAGCAGAACATATATGCTGTAGCAACTGCAGTGTTTCATGCGACCAATCTCGAGCCAGTCGAGCCACTCCAAGCAATACACCAAGAGAGCAGAAATGCAGCGGCGGCCGAACTATTTGTTTCTTCTGTGCCGCTGCTGTCTCCTTTCATTCCCACTGAAGACATGCCCACGAGCACAAAGTCCTTTTGTCCCAAAACGCACCATGGCATGTCCTGCCAAACTTTGCGCACACTCCAAGGGGCGACTCAACCCATATACCTCCCATAGACAAGATTCCAAGCCGCATGGGCACACTGCAAAGCGACAACTCCCTACTAGACAAACCAGCATTCCAACCACCCTGTACCTCGCAGCAGCAGCGAGCGGAGCAGAAGCAAAGCAGCACAAGACTAGCTGTTTGTTCTGTGCTGCTGTTATCTTCTTCCCGTCCACACTCAAAACATGCCTACCCTAAGAATCTGGGACGTCGTGGGTCCCTGGACGGGTGGCTGGTACGTGGCCAAAATCTCAGCAGGGTTCAGCAAAGAGTGGACCCTCGTGTGGACCCTCGAAAGGAGGGTCCGGCGATGATGTTTTGGCTCAAAACCTTTCGAACAACCTGAGACACAGTGCCCGGGAGCCCAGATCAGTGCTGAATGCAAATGACAACATGTTTTCTCACATGCGCACTCGTCGATCATGCTTCGTATGGCACTTATGGGATTAGCTTAGCCAGCTCCAAGTACATGAGAGCTAAGTAGCGCTCAAGAACTCTAAATGAAACGGTGCTCCTGTGACACACTCTAGCAATACGGCCGATGCGGCCAATGAAATCCTCGCCGCTGAACAGCGACCACGATCTTGGATTGATCCTTTCCAGCTTGGTGCGTTGTGCAGCGTGCATCAAATGATGATGCTTCGGCAAAAGAATAAACATATTCCTCCCAATCACGCGTCCAGTCAACTGCCGAGACCGCTTGTTGAGCAATGCAAAGGTTTGAAGGTGTGTCATGATGGCATCGTAAAATGCACCAGACTCCCCCGCCGTCATCACAAGGCCACAATCGTCCATGATATTGAGAGCCATCGCATACGTCTGAACGCATGTGCAAACAAGGCGATCCATTTCACTTGCACCATCTCGGAGAGCAAAACTGCAGGCACGATTTGCCAGCCACATGGTCACGGCCTTTGATGCTGCTGCCTTGCTAGAAAGCACCGGGTATTGCATTCTAGTCTTCCTTGAGCACCTTGAAGGTGTAAAGCGAGGTTGCACAGTTTGGATACCCCTTTCTTTTTTGAACCTCAAGAAGTCACAGTGCGCAGCACGTAATACACTTTCCAAGCACTGTTCATAAATACCAGCTCCTCCTGGCTGAAAATCTCCAAACACACCAGATTCACACATGTAAACCAGCACACTCCCGTTCAACACCTTTCCTGTTCCAAGCAGTTGTCCGTGCATGACATCATGCAACACCCTGTCGCGGGTGGCCAACTGAAACACTGAGGAGTTCCTGGCGAGAAAGCCACTCAGATCTGGCTCGGAGTTGATGTGAGCAGCTGTTGGTCTGAAGTCGGCAATGGTCATGCTCAAATTCGCATGGTTCTTAACCGCGCCACATAAGCTGCAACACGCATTTGCGTGGAAGTTGTGCAAACCATAGCGGTCAAATATCCATTTGAGATCCCCCTGAACGCTGGAGAACATAAAGCAAAACCCATCAGCGCTCCAATCAAACAGGTGCTCGCAGGAACACATCTGCTTCAGCCGGGCCATGACACACTTCATAATGTCGTCGTGAGTGTTCTCCTGACATGGTGGAGGACGCCGTTTCAAAACATACACTTCACAAAAAACAAACATTATGTTTAAGATGATGGTCATGGGTCCAACAAAAACAGATGCACATACCTTCATATTGTCAAAGGCACGGTGCTGCAGTGCTCAGAGTAAACAGCTATAGGGAAATAACGGCAAAGAGATGTGTTGCCATAAGCGAAGTCACTTGTCCACGCTATGATTGACACAGTGCCCACTTCAGAATTTCTGTAACATTGTACATCGTCTCCGTAAAGAGAAAAAGGGATCAAGCGGTCCCTTCGTGGGTAAGTGTTCAAGCTGTGCTGCTTGAACCACTCACAGTGTGCAGCACAATGGTTCCAAAATCGATCGGCGTCCACGTCAGCAAACATACATTTGATGAAAGCTTCTTTGCTTCTCGAAAACAATGCTGATGCAAGGTCGTCAGGATAGAGGATTTCCATTGGTTGCCACTCCTCCCTCGCAGCGGTGTGGTTGTACATCCTGCCATGTGGTTGTTGGTGTTTTTAGGGTGCTGTACATCAAAATTTTGTTAACAGATCCCTTGAGGGTGTCAACTACATTGCACCCCTCCATAGTGAAACATTGGTTTGACACCCACGCCTTGCCCTGATAGTAGAGATTTTGGCACCCAATCGCTGGTTCAATCCCTTCAAGAAGGTGTGCATGTCACGCTCAACGTTCCCAGGAAACTTGCCAGAAGCACCAAGTCTAGCAATTCGACTCACATGATCCTGCGAGTCCGGGTGTCCTCCCTGTTGTTCACACCACTTCATGGCAGATGCAGCTGTTTTTTGCGCCTCTCAGGGGCTAAGTCTAGCCGTATAGTCATAGTCATGACACACATGGAATGCAAAGTATTGGAAATCAAAAAATATACTGTTTGTCCAAATTGAATTCAAGATACTGTGAGGGCACTTGACTTCCCTGAGGCAAAGTTGCCAACAATCAGTGAGGGAAAGTCTGGAACATCTTCTCTCGGTCGGGTCACAGTCTTACTCGCAGCCACCACATGAGGCGGCGTGTACGGCGCCAACTCAGGCCGTGATGTTTTTTGCTCCTCCTCAATGGGAAGCGGAGGCGCCAACAGCACAGAGTCGTTGTTCCGAAAATAGTTATGTTTTTGGATGCCCAAAAAGGTTCCATGGTTCCACATGGTCAACTTGGGTAAGATTAAAAGGCAACAGTAAGACATATGACATGTTGGTATATGGCATACGATACAATATATGGATGTGTGGATGGTTGGACGTCCAAGTCCTTCTTGGCGTTCAAACGTTTCTGCCAGGAAGGTCCTGCATCAATCTCAAAGATCTAAAAACCAGAAGTGTGGGTGTAAAGGTGAAGTTAGTTTGAATGACTTGCATACGAAGCTCATCGACACCGCAAATGCAGAGTCATGTTTCTTCCAATTTCACCCATTCACAGATGGTGGTCATCACCACCCCAAGAGATCAACGCAGGTGGTTGATCCAACCCTCTAAGGCTCTAAGGATTCTCAAGCTTTTAGGAAAACTTGAACACGTGCCGTGCTGCAATGTAGAGGCCCAACACTTGGCTTCGCAAAGTATGGTGCACCTCTCTAGTCAAAGGTCATGCGGCTTTTTTGCCACGAACCCGTCTGGCAGGTGTCGCCTTTGCACCTGGAGTGGCGTTGCCGCCATCAGTGGACGCCTGTCATCAATGTCGGGCTTGATGTGCTTTGGAATGGGAGCTTGGGAATACAGAGTTTGTTGCTAGTCCAATCAGGTCTTTTTGAATGAAGAACATGTTCGATCAACCCTGGGCCTTCTTCCCTTTGTTTTTGGGTCTGGTGAGCTGCGTAGCTGAAGCTTTATCCTCACACGTGTAAACAACACGATTTGTGCCCATGATGGTCTATGTAAAAACTTATATATTGTTCATTCCATGCGCTGCAGTAGAACACTGTCCTCGGCGTAAAGCTCCATTCGCTGAAGTGCAAGCGTTTTGGCAGCCTCCACCACGCTCTGAACAAGTGAGCTGGGATCCTGCGGGTGCGACTACTTTCTGAAAACCATATGAGATCCTTTCTTCCAAATGTGGTGGACCCCAAGTTGTACGTTTAAAGTAAGGGCCATGAGGGTTGCTGTGGTCAGCTACGGAAAAGACGTAACAACCTCTATAGAGAGAACATGTCCTGGGCCGCGATGCCATTGAGCTGAAAATATGATTTTTCAAGCTCGTCTGACTCGTCTGAGTGAGCCTTCATGCTCGTACCTTGGACAAGGCAAATGAGCTACCATCTCCATTAAACAGCTGCAAGCGAGAACCACACAACATGATGCAAACATGTTCAAATGCAGCTGTAATGCACAAAGATTCCTGATGTTTCAGGTGGGACAACTTTAGTGGCCAAACCTTTGCCTCCTGCAGTTGGCTCAACAGTTTGGGCACCAACCAAACAATAGCTTCCCGGGCATCTTCTGGCATTTCAGTAGACCTCAGGTGGTTATGTATATATATATATATATATCCCCTGTGCTAGTGTTGCAAATGTGTTCTATGCGTACAATGACACAATATTGAAAACCAAAGGGCTTCCTTCTCTTCGGCCTGGGATCTTCTTCTGGGATCGGTACTTCTGGGGGGGGGATCCTGTCTCCCCGTGTCTGGGACAGGGATTGGTTTTGGTACCTGCCGACTATCGGAACCAGAGGCCGCGTCGAATGAAGAGCCAGGGTTGTGGTCGGATCCACCACGGTGCTGCAACTGTGGGACCTTTGGTGCATATGCATTGTTGTGCAGCAGGTGCTGCGTCAGGTCAGCATTGCCCATCTGCATAGCGGCCTCCGATCGGGCTGAGAAGACAACAGACTACCAAAGACCCCCGTATAAAGGTTCAGCGAAAGGTATCCTCAATCAAGTCCTCAATCACAAAACCTTCAAGTCCCACTAATAGTGAAGTGGCCAACCACACATACCCGCCTGAGATCCAGCTTCGATGGATAGATCAACTCTTGTGGACATCGATTCTGAAGTATCTTCAGAGTTAGTCATACTCATGTCAAGCAAGCAGTAGTAGAGCATGGCATCTGGGCTACCTGGAGCGTCAGGGTGATCCCTGTACTGATGTGTCTCAATTTTTTTGTCGATTATAGCATCGACCAACGCCACGTTTCCACCGTAGTGGGTCAGGAGTTGGTCACGAGTCTTCCAACCTGGGAATGAACACGGTTTTCCATGGGTGGTGATGTAGGGTACGAACAAAAACACGTCCAAAGAATTCCGAGCTGAGGAGTTGACCATATTGACATCGCCCTTGGGTGCTTTCCGTCCGGGTCCTGGTGTGGCTCACGCGCAGCCTCAAACACATTGTGGTAGTGAGGAAACATATGGGAGGGCGTTGAGAAACATGTGACAAAGGACTTGTTGCAGTTTGGGAACCGACCCCAATCTTTTCCAGCTTGCAAAAATGCTGTGAAAACAGCATTTTTGGCAGCCTTGCTCTTGTTCTGCACAGCCGTCTTCCATGCTGAAACGATTTCTGCAGGAATTTGATAAGCTTCAGGACGGTCAGAATCCAGCTGCCTGCACAGCAGGCATGTTTCCATATGATCTACTTTTCACCAATCCACAATTGTTTGTTCGTGCATGGTTGGAACACAGCGTATATGCAAAACATGTGCCTTTTCATGTGAGCATAGTGTTTTTGCCTTTCATCATAGGTATCAAAGGTCACCGGGGCAGCCTCATGTGAAAGGCCAAGGCAATGAACAAATACAACAAGCATCAACAGAAAGGTCGCACTGCAAAACCATATTCTATACCTCAGCTATGACTTCATTGCCAAGAGACCCCACCAGGTAGGACTTGAATGTCACCGCGTGCTGCAGCTGGTTGTGCAGTGTTGGCTTTAGGGGGTGGGGCCAGTGGTGTGGCCTTTGCTGGAGTGGCAGGCAGTGGAGTGCCAGGAGGTGCCACAGGAGGTGCCACAGGAGGTGCCACACACGGTGCTTTGGGGGGTGTGGCATTCGCTGGAGTGGCAGGAAATGCCACACACGGTTCCACGAAGGAAACCTTTTTCGGCCGATGAACATCAGGTGCCACCTTTGGGGTTGGCGCTGCACCAACAGCCTTTGCACTGGGTGTGTTTGCATTGTTTGCCTGTTGAGGCACCACTTCAGCTGGTGGGGTGTGTTGGTCAGGAAGCGAATCCTCGATGATGATTTCATCATGTTTCGGAGGGTGTCCACTGCTCGACTTCAGTATTGACCGAGGCATTGGATCCACTGCCGCTGGAGGTGGAGTTGGTGCAGAAGGACGGTCTGCCACAGCTAGCCATGTGTAGAAGCTGTGCAACTCTTCCATGTCGTCATGACTACCGAAAGTTGAAGCTTCTAACCCAACTTCTTCACCAGAAAGCCCAATCTCCACACGCAAGAAGGTTTCCAGCAAGGGATGTCTTTTGGCAGCTTCCACTTGCCGTTTCATCTGCACATCATCCATTTTGCACAACCAAGTGCGAACAGGATCGTCGTTCTCCTGGTCGGCCTCCAAGAGGGCATCGTGAGTATTGTCACTCCACAAGTTCGCAATATGTTTTTCTAACTCACTCTGAAAGTGAACACCCATATCCTCCACAGATTTAGATGCTGCATTGTTCACAGCCTTTGGCACTGGGTCGACAGATGTTTCTGTCTGGTCTTGACCAGAGGGCTTGGCAGCGTTAGGTGTTGGCTTGGTGGCTTCAGAAGCAGACTTGCTGGTCGGCTCGTTGGCGGGTTCTGACTGGATATGCCCTTCAGCGCTTGCTGCTGGGAGCACCTGTGATTCTGTGATGGCTGGCTGGCTGGGTCCTGCAACGTAGCTTGGCTCCACCTTGGATGGTGTTTGTTTGCTAGGTTTCGGTACCAGCGACCTGGCTGGCTCGTTGGGAGGTTCTGACAGGTTAGTCCCTACAGCGCTTGCTGCAGTGGCTGGGAGCACGTGTGATGGCTGGCTGGTTTCTGCAACAAAGGTTGGCTCCACCTTGGACAGTGCCTGATCGCTCGGCTTCAGTGCCAGCGACCTGGTTGGCTCGTTGGGAGGTTCTGACAGGTCAGGTCCTCCAGCGCTTGCTGCAGTGGGTGGTTTTTTTGCAATGGGGGACTCACCGGAGGTTGGCTCCACCTTGGAGGGGGCCTGCCTGCTGGGTTTCGGCACTGGGCATGGTGCAGTCGGAGGGAGCTGCAGAACAGTCGGAGGAGGCACTGGGTGAGGCTTTGCTTGAGCTGGGGGAAACTGTGGTTGCATTGGATGTGGGGCACCAAGTGTCTTGGGCACAGCTGGAGGTGTAGCAGGACTTGACTTCCTGCTGCACGGCGCGGACGTCTCCACTTTTCTGCTTGGCGGTGCCATTGAAACAGCCATGATTGCTTCATGTGCCTTGCACGAAGGCTTGGGTACAGCAACTTGTCGGAGCTTTGCCACTTCAGAAGTTGAAAAAGACCTCTCCTCCGACTTGCCTGGAAAGTGTTTCGGTGGAGTAGGTGTAAAAACTGGTGTCCCAAGTGGTTTGCTCTCTGGCGTCACGATGTCAGGGGTGGTGTCAAGGCCTCGACGGTTTGACACACACCTTGCCTTGGGAGGAGTCATGATGGTCGAGAATTTTGGCCGTTTGCAGGCCTGGGACGGAGCAACCAGCTCTCGCTTGACTTGGATGTGGTCCCTTGTTGAGGGATCAGGAACCACACTCACAGAAGGCAAACTATCGACATGTGTGTCCGCTGCAGGTGACATGGACCTAGGATGTCGTCATATATGTCACTGTGTGCACAAAGAAGATCCATAACGTAGCAGCTAGTCATGTAGCTTCAGCGTGATACACAAACTATCCGTATACAAGTTCATCCTCTCACAGACAAGGGGCTCCATCATATGCATTTGAGAATCTTGTGTGGCCTCCACATCGAGGTTGTTTGGCCACCGATAAGTAGAGCTACAGGCCTGCAAGGCTTCTTGATCACGCGTAAACCCCAAACAGTCACACAACAAAGGCATTATGCAAGTTGTTCATCTCAATTGTCTTGACAGGCGAGACATACAAAAGAAGCTAGCTTGGAGCCTCGGTCACTTGCGAATCGGTTCCTGGAACGGTGTCAGTGTCCATGGTGCCATCCTGCATGAGAGAAATATGCAGTAACCATACCTAGAGTTCTTCTTTTCAGGCCTCAACCATCGCATAGGCAGACATAGCTCTCAAGCCGCTGGGCTTGGGACCCTTGGGAAGTACTTGCAAAATCACCGATGGGTCACAACCAGAACTGGGTGGGACTGCATGGTCTTGACAAACTGCCAACACACCTACCGGCCTCACCCCCAAACTTACCAAAGAACTGCTGGATCTCCGATGCAGTTGCCTGCTCATACCTGATCTCCTGCATGCATGGATTAGGAGCGTTGACGATCTATGTTTTTTCACCTGTTGCCAAACTATGCACAGCTACACAAATGAAGGGACGAAGTGCCACACTCCTGTCTGTCGGCGTCGGCCTTCGGGGGCATCCCTGACTTCTCCCCGCAGGGATACACTGCACAGCACGTGATTGAACCAAATGGCTCATCCAAATCCTATCCGACGCTATCCGACGACCGGTCCTTCCCACAGCTTTATGTCCCAGGGTCCACCAAATCCTATCCGACGGCCATCCGACGCCATCCGATGAACCCCTTGTGAAACACTACATACCTATCCGATGCTATCCGACGGCCGGTCCCTCCCAGGGCTTTATCCGCGAGGGTCCACCCAATCCTATCCGACGCCCATCCGACGCCATCCGACGCAGCGTCCGCATATGCGTGTATGCATGTGCATGCAAACTCACATATCCACAACAACACCATGCATGCACACAATTTATGGTTTTCCGGTCGTGCTCATTTGGATTGCACTGGTTGAATATGCTTCATGAGGGCGTGTGGCCATGAACAGGATCACAGGCCATGAACAGGATCACAGGCCCTGACATACACACGTGCATAGCTGAATTACGAACTTAAAGATGTTGCAAGACAGCCGGTGTTGTTCCAACAACAGGCTGCCCATCACCTGTGAGGGTCATTTCAAAAATTAGCCCTCCACCTCCCAAAGATCTACACGGCGCTTGTTTGCGCGATTTGCCAGGTGGTTTTCCAACCAGGCTTCAACCTCATCCAATTTTGCATCATTCCATAAGTCATTCGAGTAATCGATGACTTTGCGGTTCTTGGGGTACTGCACAGCCCAGGTATCCCACTCCGTAGCCACCTGAAGTCAGTGGGCTTGGATAGTTGCTTTATAAGATGTGTATACATGCGTGATCACACCCCACCCATCGACCAAAGTACTTGCCACTGAGCCACAGCCTGCCCAAATTTTGGTGGATAGACTTGAGATACCTTCAATTGATCAGACCCTTTGAATTTCCATTCTCCACGGGCATTGCGATATTTGATAGTCGCATTGGATTTTGGAAAGCGAGAACGCTCCAGCTTCCTGCGGGCAATCAGCGGTGAGGATGCAGCGGTGTAACACTGGTGAAGCTGTTGGCAAAACAACCACTTTCGTTTTGAAGGGGTCCACGGGTGACTTGAGGAGGATCATGGCTACATCTGAACATTTTTTAGCAGCGCAGTCCTGTACAAGCGGTGAACAAACTTGTCGCTCGAAAACAGTTTCACCGGTTTCTGAGTTGTCCCGCCATACATGCCCAACCAAGTCATGGTTTGGTGCGCAACACGGTGCTGCATCAAGGTCGCCAACCGTGGAGCCAAGTCGATCTAGGTCACCAGAGGCCGATCGTTGACTCGCTGGGGGGTGTGAGGAAGATTCATTAACACTATGTTCTTGGCCCCATCCACATGCAAACAACTTAGGGTTCCGGCAATGCTGGAGAGTGGATTTTCCAACATCCAGTGGCCCTGGTGGTAGAGGATGGTGTGGATGATAAGAACTGCCTGTGATCAAACACAGTTCAACCATAAAAAACATAGCCGATCAAACAATAAACATCTACTAGTAGGATCCTATGTTCTTTACATATGCTTGTTAATTGCAGAACCCCGAAGTTAAGCGCCGTGCTCGCACTAGCATCAGGTTTGCTCGTGCAACTGATGGATACCACCTGAACCAGCTAGTTTGGCCATATATGGCCACACATGACCACATTCCAAAGCAAACAGCTATGCATGCACCAAAAACAAGAATCAAGACACGTTCGTCCCAATGGATCTTCAGCAGTTCTTCCACTCGTGCCTCCTTAGAGCATAAATCATAAATCATGTTTGCATGTGAATCATAGAAGGGCACCTGACTCATGACAGTTGTTTTGTTTCTGTTTGGACCAAGTGTCTGTTTATGGCCACCCAGGTGGAACAAACGATGCCCATGCACCCCAAGCCTCCACGGGCTATGTGACAAGCAGCGTACAGGTGGCGAATGAAACCAACTGGTGAATTGATGTCCTCGGGCCGCATACTGCTGGCGGGCTATTGACAGACTGCCAAGTCAAGGTCAATGATCTAAACAACACGTACGTAGTTTCTGGGTGGTGCAAGCAAGACTTTTGCCTAGCATCATCAAGAGGATTCAGTATAATATCCAAAGCACCATAACCCTTTGCCTTGAAAGCCTTGCTGATGGCGCACTTGCCAGCAAAGTAGTCAATGTTGTGATATTTCTCCACAGGTGGTGCAAATGCCTCCAGCAAGCAGGCGCAGGACGCGGGTCAGACAGGGCTCCACCAAACACTATACCCAACTTCCATCGTGCGTGTCCTACAAAGATCATAGTAGTGTAAGTGAGAGTGCCTTTTTGATCATATCGATCAAGATCAACAAGCGTAGTGGCATGAATCCTGGACGATTTGGACCAGCCCCCAAGCCACGTGGAATAGGAATACGGGGAGGTACTTTGTCCTCATCGATCTCAATGGACCTGCAACCAACACACGAGACGGAGCAACCGAAGATTGCAAAAATAGTGAAACACCCATTCCAACATATTCCAACAACCCTTCGATGAACACTCCCGGAAGTTATAATCTATTTTATGCATCCATCCCCGAGCCCATCTCGCCTAGGCCTTTTGGTAGCCATGGTCACCAAACAAGATGCAATGACGAAGACACCTGACTCGTTTTTTGAGCCAGGACGGGCTTACCTGCGTGTGAATCATGCGTGAGCCTTGGCACTGAGATGCACTGAGCTCGGGAATGAGCGACAAAGCACGTTGACTCATGCTGTGCAATGCGACCATTCTGCACGAATGTTGGGAGACCTTGCAAACAGTTCATGCAATACAATGCAAACAAAACAACATAAAACAACTTTTCCCCCTGGTGTCATCGCTGTGATGAGCCTAGCTTTCAGCTCCATGAGCTGCGATCAAATTGGCATATGTTTGCCCGGCAGTAAGATGCAGCGCTAGCTATGCCTTGTGCATTTACGTGTGCAAAACACGTGCAGCTAGCAGAAACTGTTAAACCCCTTGCATCATGGCTCCCCTGCTTTGCAGGTCTTTGCCTTCACAGATTCAGGTTGGGCATCGTCTTTTTTGATCTTTGGACTTGATCGAAACACTCCACAAAGATCATCGACGTAGCCGGTCTCGCGAAACAAACGGGTTGCTGCATTGGCAGCAGCCCTGGCAGCCTCAGCCCCCAGGTGGCGGTGCTTTGAATGGGCACTGCTGTACACATGGTTCGATGTCACATGGTCGGGGGGCTTCCTCTGTGGTCCATGGGGAACCGGCAGCTGCTCCGATGATCCATCACCGGCTGCTGCAGGTTGGCTTGGTGGAAGCTTTGCAGCTCTCGATCCATTCCGTGCAGATCTTGCAGAACTTGCAGCCGTAGGGCTCATTGATGAGCCATTGTCCACCTGGTTGCCTGCCTGCTTCGCAGGTCTGCGTCGCTTCGCCCCAGACTCTGCAGAGGCTCGATCTGAAGGCTTTGCCCTCTTCCTCGAACTGGATGCTGCACCACTTCCTTTCTCCACGGCTTTTGCACGGGAAGCCGCCCTTGTTCGCCTCTTGGCACGTTTGGGTGCCACAGGTTCATCTTCTTCCTCAGGCTTGCGTTTGCCTGAATCTCTCTTTGGCTTCCTGCCTCGAGTTTTTCCAATGTCACGGCCCTGTTCAGCATAGACTGGTGGCTCCTCACCTTCAGCAAGTGCCTTCATGTCATCGACGAAAGAAGGTTGAGGAGGCAATTGGTACTTCTTGATCTTCTTGGCATCTTTTGTGCCACTTGAAGCTCCCTCAGCAGCCGCCGTCACTGGCTGTGAAGACAACACCTCCATGGCCTCTCGTTCCATTTGAACTGAAAGTGCGTGCTTTGGCCCAACCCGACGAACCAGGTCCTTCCACGTTTCCTCCTCCTGGGGTTGGGCCAGCATGGGTGCTGCTTCTTTGGCCTTTCGAACCAAGTCCTCCCAATTGTTCTCAGCATTGTCTTCAGGAGCGGTCCTGCTTGCATGGTCCTTTGAAGTTTCCTCGACATGGTATAGGTCAGCCTCGCGGCTGTCAGGAGCATCAGGGTGTGCGATGCGTTCAAAGCCCTCCAAGCTTTGGCTTTTGCCATAGCGCTCCAAGACCTGGCTCTGCCCCAGCCATCGCGTGCCGCCAGCATCTTTGGCCACAAGCTCCATTTGGTCAGCCAGGGAACGCTTGCACTGGTCCTCGTCATGGCTTGTCTCAACCAAAGGCCGCAAACGTCGAAGTCGAAGTGGTCTGGCAGCATCACTCACCAAGACCCCAGGATGAGCATCTTCAACAAGGGCGGACATCTTTGTAGGCTGATCCTCGAGCGCTGCACTGGCTTGAGTGTTCTCCTGACAACAGCAGTGATCGAGCCATGAGGGGCGCCCCGAACCATCCCCTATATAAAGAAAAAACACATTTACATATACAGCTTTTGTTTGGCCAAACCCATGGGTTCCTTCGAAGATGTGAAAGATGAAGAGGGTGGTCCGCCAAACATACCGACAGGGATTCGAATGTTCGGCACGTACTTCTCCATAAACGAATGGAGCTCACCCCCCTCTCGAATCTTGAAGTTCTCCCGTTGCAAGATCTGGAGAACCTTCATGCAAATCTCCTGGCAAGACAAGAAATAAATCACAAAACACACTACTCGAAGCATACACACCCCAACAACGCGCAAACATGTAAATGCTGCATAGAGGTTGCAAAGCCCAAATTGCCTCCTGGGCTGAGGCCTTGCTTCGACCACCATGGTTTCCCTCAAGGCGTGGATCCTGCGACAGTTGCCATGCTCGGCCAGTGACTGTGTTGCATGGAAATGTGGGAGATGAGACATGCGCCTCAACTGTCGCCGTCGTCGACGCTCTAGTCATGACATTTGGAAGAATCACTTGTTGCACCTGATCTGTTCAATGTTCAAACCATATATAGACGTTCTATGAAGAGGAGCTCTGAGGTTCTGAGAATCCCACGGGTGATGTTTGGAAAATGCACCAACCATCTGATGCCTCATTGGCATCAATGGGAAGAGGCTCAAATCATAATTATGAAATCCATAGTTTGAGCTACCAAAAGGGATCAAAAGTCCTTTCAATGATTCAAGGACTTATGGATAAGACCTATCAATAAGAGTCTGGCATTTGGGTAGCACGATCCGTCGCTTTGCATGGACAAACTGGCCTTGCATGTACACTCCAAGAATCTCCAAGACAAAAGTTTTCAGTTTGTGTGACCCCAGGAAGCGCACCATTTCTTGGCCAAGACGATCCATAGTAGTAGTCCCATCGTCCCCATGGTCCTCACGCAGCCAACATGCTTTAGCTACTTAGTGGTGGAATCAGTAAAACACTGGGCAACCAAACAGTATCCTCATCGTCAAGCACAATTATGCGAGCCTGCCCAGGCATGCTACACACAGTATAGGAAAACAAGACTGACATTACATGACATAAGACACGTGTTGCCCACCGTCCCCAATCGAGAAGCAGGGTCTTCATCGACCTGAACCAACTGTCACAGGTGAACCTTCATGGGTATGCTTCCCATGCCGGCAGACAAGGCCCGAACCGGCAATTCCGGAGATACTGAGATCATAGGTGCTTCCGCCTATCGAGGCGAACAATTGAACCAATCTATGTTTCACACGCCCAGAGATCTAATCCAACATAGAGGCTTGCCTCATCATGAGAACCACTCGCTGCAGCACCCTCTTTGCTTTGGTCAGGTACCTCCAAACGCACATAATACACAACAACTGTCCCTTAAAGTGAAAGGACAACCGCAAAGCCCAGGTCCAAGCAACCTCGTTCAACGTGAGGTGGTTTGCGTGGACCTGTCAGAGCCGGGTGAATTTCGATACCCATCTCAAACATTCTCAAACATGTTTAAATTCGAAAAAAAAGGTTCAATCCATATGATTCTGAATCTGACCCTATGACCCGGAATCCTGCCTGAGAGCTGTCACAGGTCTCCAAACCAGGCGCGGTCGCATACTCCTTTCGCACAGGGATACACATGGTCCGGGTCGTTTATACAGTATGATGAACACTTTGTTCAGGCAAGCCTGAGACTCTTCCACTGTGCAGTTGGCGTAGCACAAGGTTTCCTCCAAGAAAGTGTCGGGCACTGCCTGTGCCAACACAATTGTGAATATGCGATCGAAAGAAATTGAACACATGTTTTGAGAGGGCCTGGTCGATTCCAGCACGTTGGGTTTGTTCGATTTCAACGGGTTGACGAGCCTGCCAAGAACATGTAACAACCTGCGTTTCAAAAAAACAAGGCTTTGGTGAGCCTGGTCATCAGCGAACGTTTGATAGCATACAGTCTCAGTCTCAGTTTCCTGCATGGGAAACAAATGTTTGTGCACAATGGACAAAACAAAAGCAAGACCATGGACAATGGAACCCTGACAGGACCCTTGATGTCTTAAGATTGTCACCTTCTCCGCTGGCAATTCATGGTTCGCCACCTGCCCGGAGAACTCAGAAGCGGCACTGAAGTCACATTGAGAAGGATGCCACTAAACCATGGAAGTAAGTAGAAGTGCAAATGTCATGATTGACATTCCCGTAGTAGGTTCGAGATGGTAAGGTCATGCCTGGTTGCTGACACGAGATGGTGCATTAGCATCCGGTCCTGCTCAACAGACGACACATATCCATATGCGCACAATGGTCACAATGCATACAGTCAGTTACTAGAACTCGAAATGACACATGAACCCCATAGCCTCCATTCGAAGAGGGCGGAGAGTGTTCTTCTCCATCGTCATCAGATACTTCCCACACCTCGATCTCCACTGGAGGAACCTGGTTGCCTCCGTCGTTCTCGTTCAATCCCTTGTCGACGAGGCAGGGAGCTTCTGAATCTTTAGTGACCACGTGACGAGCCTTTTTTGGACTCCTTTGCATTACAGCTTGCAGTTGTGCTGCAATGTCATTGACCTAGGATATCATGATGTTGATCGAATACGCATTCATGAAAACACATCCATACATGCAGGAAACAGCTAGCAGCTAGCTCGCTAAACAAATAGAATCTTAAGACAAGAAGCGGTCCTTTTTTTCATGCTTCTCCTCCAGTATCGTCGACTGTAGGCAAGGATGGCGAAGAGCGCATATGCTTCCTGAGAGCCGGCCAGACATGCGAAGCCTGAAGAACCATTTGGGTCAACTGGTGGCCATGTAATTTTCACAATGAGGTTCCGTGTTTGCCCACTTTGCCCTATCTCGAAGATACCGGCATTTGCTGAGCTTGAAATCACACTCACGGTCAATGTTGGCAAAGATCTTTTCCAAGAAGCCAACAGTATATTCTCCTTATAACGCAGTGCAATCTAACCCGTGGTTGGATCACATGATTCATCCATGAAACATGATTCGGCTAGTGATTCGACTATATCTAGTCCGTATTTTGCTGAACAGGTTCCCATCGGGGAGACATCATAGAGAGCCAGGACTAATGGTAAGTAGCGTTCCATGTCAGGAAACCCAACTGCCAAAGGGTTCACATCTGGGAACAGCGTGTTCAGAGGATAGTCTTTTGCACCACACTCCGTGCAGACAGTGCCAGGCAAATGGGTCAAGACATGGCCTCGCATCATGAATCCACAGTTTCACCCGAATCATGGACCGTGTTTTCAAAACAAATCACTACAGCAATCGGCAGGACATGCTTTTATTCCTGTGTCATGCGAGCTTAAAGCCAAGTTGCTTTTGACCTCATCTTCTTTTCCGTCCAAAGGCGCAGGGTTTGCCATGATTTTTCACTTCCCTATACCCCAGTCACTGAAGACCCAAAAATGCTGCAATGTCTCAATCTACACATGATTTGCCAAAGGGTTCACAGACCATTCGCTCTTTGACAGTGACACTTGCACATGAATGCTCGGCGTATGGAAAAAGAACTTGCGCCACATGGTCAACCATCCCTTTGGTCCGTCCTGTTCCAACGAAGCGCCGCTGCGGCATCGCCACCAAGTCATCGCCATGGATGACTAATGTTCAAGTCGATCAAATCTGATCGTGAACTTCACATGTTGCAAGTTCATGAACTTGATTGTCCTTGTTCCATGTCATGAACAGTCTTGTCCAACTTCGCTCCCACCCTGGACCCTTGGACCCTCGCCACTTTTTGGCGAGGGTCCGGACCCTCGCCTGAACCCTCCAAACGAAGGCCTGAGACCAAAACCCTACGATGCAGATACCGAACCTCGCATCTGAGAGCCCAAAGATTGTTAGGGTACAAATAAAAAGCCTCCTTTGCACCCAAACACAAGCTCAGGATGATCTCTTCAGTCAGTTGCATGATTCAAGCACCTTCCAAAAGTGCACACGCCAATGCAAACATCAAGCCAACACTTTTGGAGAGATTTTTGAGAGACAGCAGGCAAGAGTTGCCCGGAAAACAAGCCCCAGCAAAAACGAGCAAACCATACCTCATCTCTAAATCTTCCGAGTCTGCCTGCGTGCATTTGTGTAGAACGAGTCAGACAACATGACTATTACACAATGCTGGTTGACATGGCGGATGTTGGAGAACTTCGGCATGAACCAGGGCAGGGCCACAGCTCATAGATGGCCGTGAGGTTTTGTAAGGATTTTTCGTTTATGCATACGTCGCGTTGTAGACCCTTAGCCTCTCCTACGGTGTCGTTGTTGATGTGGCTTCAGCTGACTAGAGGGAATTGACAATGAGTTCCGTGCCTAGTAGCGACGGCCTCCAAGCCTGTACGCGACTCTTCTCCCACCCCACCCCTTGCTACGTGAATCGATTGTTACCCCTAGCCCATGCACCGCACGCATTCACATGTCACTTGGTACTCGATGAACCTGAAGGAAACCTCAGAAGTACTTCAAATACTACACGAAAAGGCAAAACCCATGCGAAACACCACGCCTGTCTACGCACCCTGGTCCAATCCACTTCGAGGCGATCGGGATGGCTTTGGGAAAAGACATCCAGAATCAGAATCGGTTCTGAATGGGTCTCCCAAAGGAGCCCAATGGAAGCTGCCAATCCAGAAGCGGCTAAACTCGACTAGTGCATGTAAAAGAAAAGATGCCAACAAGGAAGACAAACAGAAAGAACAGCTAATAGCGATGGCCTCCAACCTACTAGCGATGGCCTCCAACCTACTAGCCATGGCCTCCAACCTAGAATCTAGAAGAAAGAAAGAGAGGAAAAAACTTGAGGCCAGAGGGGGTGAACGAAAGCTAGCCGGGCTTCCGGTGGTCTGCTGCTGGTGCTGCTGCTGCTGGTGCTGCTGCTGCCGCTGCTGCGCTGGGCGCTGCTGCGCTGGGTGCTCTGCAGGCGCCGGGTCGTCTGCTGCTGCTGCTGCTGCCGCCGGGTGGTCTGCTGCGGCTGCTGCTGCTGCTGCCGCTGCTGCGCTGGGCGCTGCAGATGCTTGGTGTGCTGCAGCTGCTTGGTGGTCCCGCTCACCGCGCGCAGGGGGGAGTCGAACCGCGGGGGGGGGGGGGGGTCCATAAGATTGATTTAATCAATTATTTGAGGTTTCTGAGGTGCGTCCACCCCGTCACTTAACTTGCTAAAGCAAGAGCAACTCCAGCTAGCTAAGGCTAGCTTTCGTGATAAACGTATGCAAATTGTTTACAACACATTGGATGGATGCCATACACATCGTCTACAACTTGCCATTCACCAATGGCAAATGCCTTTCTTGTGAAGATGGCGACACCATGCGACACCTGTCATGACTGAACCACTGGCGTGGTCTCATCACTTCGAGCGGCGTAGGCTGGATGTGGTGTCTTGCATGGAGGCCACGATCTCTCGGATTCCTGACGCATGACATGGTCATCATGCCGAGGCGGAGATATGCATTGGCCGAGGCGGAGATGAAACACGGAACATGGTTTCTTACAAATTGCAAAATAATTACATGTAATTACGAATGTCGGCTTGGGCTGTGTACCTTGCAGCAAGTGCGATGACTGCATTGGTGCCCTTGCTAGACTGCTAGGCTCTTAGACTCCTTGAGTGTGACACAAAGAGCGGTTGGCATCACTTTGAACCTGCTTGGAACTCGGCAATGGAATGGTAACAGATTTCTGGTGAGTGCTATTTTGGAAATGACCAGCCCGCACTTGACTATGGGAAAGTAGTGGTGAGTTGAAGCTCCAAACAAAGTGAGTGCTTCTTTTGAGCACGTTGAGGAGGCTTCTATAGAGCTTCAGCGTTTACTTTACAACTCCGCCAAATGCTGAACTTTCGGGTGGACTCGAGTTGATTTCATTGTTTTTGGTTGGAATCCGCTCAAAACTCAATTGATGGTAAAGCTGAACGGAGGCCCGCATTCCACACCGGCTTGTATTAATTTGTTGCACGCTGCAGCTTCTGGCCAGTACCAACCGCAAATAAAACACTTAGTGACTGAGTGTGATAACTGAAGCTGTTCGATGCTTGAGATGCTTCTGAAGAACTGTGAAGACATGATTCAAAAAGGAAACAAGGAGGCCATCGCTCTTAGGTTGGATTGGAGGCCATCGCTAGTAGGTTGCAGGCCAGCGCTAGTCGGTTGGAGGCCACCGCTCTTAGGTTGGAGGCACTTGCTCTTAGGTTGGAGGCCATCGATCTTAGGTTGGAGGCCATCGCTAATAAGGTCGGAGGCCATCGCTCTTAGACTTGATTGACAAAAAGGAAAATCCGAACTTCTTCTGTACCAAGCGATTCTTGGCCGTCCTTGTGGAGAAATTTCAGCTGCACCAAGCCACAACTCTTGACAACCTCCCTCTGCCACAGCCTGACCGGGGACAATCGCCATGACCCAAACCGACAAGTGAAAACAAAGGGCGGCAAAAAATATAAAGGGTCTAGATTCGATCGATCAAACATCAAAGCAACATTCTTCTGCTTGCACATGTCCTTCCGAGCCTCCAAGATTTCGGGCAAATCTTCATCATAGGCAAAGCTCGAATGGTACGGTGCAGGGTACGTCGAGAAATTGGCCACTCCCTGAACTCAAAGAGATGCTACAACATAGCGGCCCCAAAAAAGCAGAAAAAAAGAAACACACCAAAAGAAACACAAAGAATGCATCAAGCAAATCAATCGTTTCTTTGCATGTGCTTTTTCGGTTGTTCATCTCGATCTGGGCCTCTGGAGATCCTCCACGGCGCGTCTGCTCCACGCGCTGTCGAAACTTGGCAACTTGAAGTTTCGTCCTGTGCTGCAGGTCTCCCACAATGGAAAAATGGAGTGGAGGCCATCGCTAGTAAGTTGGAGGATATCGCTCTTAGGTTGGAGGCCATTCCTCCTGGGTTGGAGGCCATCGCTCTTTCCCAAAACGAGTGGTTTGCGCGAGACTTCGTCGGAAAGCCACACGGAGCACACCGCACTGCCGTTTAAGAAAACAAGCTTCTTGCTCCTAGTACGGCCAAAACCCCCTAGTAGCGTCCTTGCTCCTAGTAGCGCTGCCAGGAGCCCCTAGTAGCTTCTTGTTACTAATTAGTAGCGATGGCCTCCAACAACAAGTTATTGTTCTTCGCAAATCTCAAGCGCAAAGTTCGGGCACCATGCGCGCCAAACGTTGCAACCTGACATGAAGTTTGATTTAAACATCACCAACATGTGCCACGTACTCCACCCACCAGGGAAGCCAATATCTCACACCTTCGTGTCTGTGGCAAGGTTTGCACCACACTACATGTTGAAATGATTTGGGCACTTCCCTGCCTCATCCATATCATCCCAAATGCCAATACTAACCAAAACAACAGTATCACGAAAACACAGCTTCGAAGCAAACCCCCAAACAGCGACGCTCAACACGCACTGAGAGGTTGCATCGCACAGCAACATGATACAACACACCATCAAACGCCACATTTCCACATGAGTCCATCATAGTCCATCTCAAAACTTTGTCCAAATCCTTTGTGTTAACTTCTCCCAGCATTTTTAACAAGATCACGCATGAAGGCCAAAATACACGGTTGCCGTAAAGTGCCCAGCGAATACATCGAGTGACCGTGTGAGGAGAAACCTGAATAAATTTGATATGTCAGACTGTGTGAGACTCTTGTGCACTCGTGACTCTCTCACTAGGTTGGAGGCCATCACTTCTAGGTTGGAGCCCATCGCTCTTAGGTTGCAGGCCATCCTTTTCTTTTGTGCTCTTCCCACATAGCGAGAGAGAGCTATTGGGGTTCTTACTTCAAGGATAAGGAGAGCTGCATGCGTGCCGCTGCCGTGTGCGCTTGTTATGAAACGCCAGTGGAGAAGCCGAGACAGCTTGAATGCAATGATTCCAATTCTATTTGGGGTTTATGCTGGTAGTTCTCTATGACAGCGTTGTGTGAGACTTTGCTAGGACGCTCTTGGACACCATCGTGAGCACAAAACGAACACGTTTCATATGTTTTCATATTTCAGCATGAAAAACCATGTTTAACCTCTCCTGGGTGGATCACCAAATGTTGGATCTGACGTGGCTTCACAGCCAAAGGGCCCGGCATCGCCGTGGCAACCAAACTGTTCCATTTCCAGCTGCGCAATCAGCTCCTGCGAAACCAAATGCTTCAAAACGCGCTTTTACAAAAACACGTTTTTGGAAAACAGTTGATTTACTTCCAATCGCCTGCCCTGAAAAGAAGGCCTGATCCAAGGTTCCTTTGTCATGCTTTGCCCTAGAGCAGTTTCTTCGCGCTAATCCTCTCATTCATGAGGAAAGACTCGAAACCACTTGTGCACCACTTTATCCCAAGTGCCTCCGTCATGAGCCTTCTGTCGACAAATGTTTCTTCTGGCAACAGTTGCTCGAAGATTTCTTGGCGCGTCTCCACATCAGCACCTGTCTTCTTCATGTGAGCGTCTCTCCGAATCTAGTCTAAGAGTCAAGAGGTGTCTCTTCCATGTTGCTTGCCCGACAAGCTGTGGATTTAATAGTTCTCAAGGAGTGTATGGCAGTTTAGGGTAAACATTGGTAAATCTGGAGAGCGAGCTCGCGCGACACCACTTTTTGAGGTCGACCATTGTCACAGTGGACACTGTATCTCAAAGTGGACTCTCGTCACAACGTTTCCCAAAACAATACAGGTACACATACCAACTTTCCTTGAACAACTGTCAAACCCTGAACAACCACTGTAGCTACTACAGCTTCTCCAGGTGTTTGTTTGTTGTTAGACAGCAGTTGATCAAGACATGTTCCACTGGTGTGTTTCCAGCAAGCTTGTTCTGTCCAAGCTCTTCTTGAGCACATATTTCTTGCTTGCAACTTACAACCTTTTGTTCTGCACCCAGTGCCAAAAGATTCAGCTACCAACTCATTGAAGTCATCTGCGCTGACGAAATCTCGGGGGCTCTGAATTCCTTTCACTTTCGGGTTAGCATCTTATTGCCTTCCAGCACAGGAGTTTCTGCAAATGGGATTATTCGTCCATTGATGTCAATTGCATGTTTGCAACGCATTTCGAGAGGACGAGCTTGAACCCCCCTTCGTATGACATGTGCGGGTCTAGAGAGTCTATAGAGAGTCTTTGGTGTCCAAGGACTGCCTTGTCGGGGGTGTGCCTCTCTCGTGACACTGGGAGTAAGTGGAACACAAAGAATCACATCCAAGATCCTACAACTAGCGATGGCATTATACAACATCCTACGCCAACAATCACGACTCATACCTGATACTGTGCAACACGACTCAGCCCGACACCAAAAATCACTTCTGTCTTCACTCGCTCCTCCGGAGTGACCTGAGGACGATTCCAAACACTCTATGTCACTCCAGGTGGGAGGCCGCTCTCAGGTTGGAGGCCATTCTTAGGTTGGAGGCCCCGTGTCACCGTGTCCCTCCGTCTTTGCGTTGCGCCATCGCGCCTGTTGGCTATCCAACTGTCTGAGGCGAGGGAGCCGATGTAGAACTTGTGCACGGTACTGAGGCAGTTGAGACCTTGACAAAAAAGGTGAAAACAAAATGACAAGCTGCTGGGTACAAACAATTTCAATATTCAATTCAAAACAAAAAAAATGAGAAACCCTGTCGTGCTACTGAACGCTGGTCCTGGAGGTCCAGGACTGGCTAAGGTTTTCACACAGGATTTGGCTGCATGTAGAGCTCACTGAGGAAAACAAAACTTGCCAATTGATCGACTTCCCTGACGCAAAGAGTCAAACAAACCAAGATCAAATAATGTCAGGATCCTCTATGCCTCCCTTGGCACATTTCAACTTATCTTGTTTCTTTGTTTGCCTCATCTGCGAAATGCGGTTCTCTGCGAGGCGAAGCTTCCGCAAGCGGGGTATGTCCTGCAAAGATGAAGATAGAGGCAGTTCGCTGTGCTTTGGCAAAACGTGGCCGAGATTTTGTTGTTTCTTTTTCAATGTTTGTCTTAGGTTTGCTTTGGCTTCTTGCATGCTTTAGACTCCTCCATTGTCGAAATGGACCTTTTGTTGGCTGCACGAAGTACACACGTGTTTTAAACTTGTCAACTCCTCCGCTCTCAACGCCGTGATTGTTGTAATTTGGTTGTGCCGGACATCCAAGCAATGCAGCTTTGCCAGCTTTTGGATCCCTGCCAATCAAGCCGTTGCTTTGCTTAACTTCCCATAAAACGCTCAAAAAGTCCAAGTTGTAAAATTGTTAGTTGTAAAATGGGAAACTGTTATAGACATGTCTAGACATGTCTAGACTCATTTGCTGGTCGCCTTCCAAAGAACTCAGCTTATTTTGCGCCAGGCTCAAGCTGCGCAACTCCAAATCATCCAGGTCTTCTCCGAGTTTCCTTGTTCCAATTCTTGTTCCTAGTAGCGTCCTTGCTACTAGTAGCGATGCCAGGAGCCCCTAGTAGCTTCTTTGTTCCTAGTAGTAAGGCCAGGAGCCCCTAGTAGCGAACATAGCTCCTAGTAGCGATGCCCTTTGCTCCTAGTAGCGTTCTTTCTCCAAGTCTCAAGAGGAAATTCTCCGAGAGATCCAAGCTACGCAGCTCCAAGTTGCCCTTCAAGCCATGCCCCACAATGCTGATGTAGTTTCCACCTCAACACTCATAAGTCGACACCGTCCATGGCCTCCACGCTAGTAGCGATGGCCTCCAACCTAACAGCTTCTTGCTACTAGTAGTAATGGCCTCCAACCTACTAGCGATGGCCTCTAAAGCCGACATATAAAGTTAGTGAACGACATCTCCCCTGCCCTTTCACACCTGTTACCTCTTCTTTATATCTTCCGCTGGCAAATATGCGCCAAAAGTTGGGTTTGTTGAGATGTTGTGCCAACAAATGTAGGTTTGCCTTTCAAACATTCATTAAACACGTGTGCTTGAAGACATGGTGTCTATCTCTCTCTCTCTCTGCTTGGGTGAGCCCCTTTTTTTTCACTTACATGACACATTGGACATTCCTGTGGCGCTGTGCTGTATATTGTCGTTTCCAGTACCCATCGTTTCGCCCCAAGGCACGTAAATTCAATTCTCGAAGATACCGATGAACTTTCCAGTCTCCCAGTTCTGCCAACATGTTGTAGGACATGTCGCAGGTCTCCAGTGCATCAGGTGCTGTGAAACTTTGACTCCTCAGTGACTCTCATGAGATGCACTGCACAGGTGACTCTCTCCGAGTTCGAACAAGAAAACACTGGACATCTGGGCAAAGGAGCAAAGGACACGTTCAACAACATCCGAGTTCAATTTAGTGTCGTTTTTCTTCTGCAGACTTTTGACATTTTTGATATCGACCGTTTTTATCTTTTTTCCCTTCCGAGTTGTCCCAGTCCTAGTTGGTTCAATTTGATTCAATTTGTTTGTTCTTTCCAATCGGGAGGAGCCGACAGGTGCTGGAAATCGTGGTGCAAAGGTGCTCGCGCAATGGCCCTATTTCATCCGATTCAACTTCCAGGCGAGGAGTAAGGCAGTAAGAGCCGCTCCACCATTCAGTTGGCTGTCAGCGCCAAAACACAGATGCATCGCTACTAGGAACAAGTGCATCGCTACTAGGAACAAGTGCCTTACTACCTTAAAAGTAGTAACAAGAAGCTATAATTAACTTAATTCTATATTAAATCACTTTGATCGATCCGAAACCGCCCGAGGTGTCCAAGGTTCCTGATGAGCAGGTTGTGGCTGGCGTCCAGGTGCAAAAGATGTCGCAAGGCACCCACAGGCTCCAAAGAGCGAAGGCGATTTCGCGAAACCTCGGTTTCGCTCCAAGTTCAAAAGACTTAAGCACAAATAAAGAGTGGTGATAGAGCAAAAACAGGTAGAACACAACTTAAAACATTTCTTTAGTTCTTCTGTCAGGTGGAACAAAAGTCACATGGATGGAGCCTGAGCCCTTCTGTGCCCAGCTCAGGAAACTGCTCAAGATTAGTAGCTACATGTATATAGCTACCCATAGCCCACCTACGGCTTGCCTCCCCCAATAACAAACTCCTCGTGTCTTTTGGAGTTGAACCAAGCGGCATTGAGGAATTGGAGCTGTTCCCAGCGTCGGAGTTTCACTAAACTAGTCAACTCCATGCCAACCAAATCGCACCTGATTGTGCACCAGTGCCGTATTTACGACTCACTTGAGGTTTGTTGACAATTCTCCGAACTGCAGAAACATCTGAGGCAAGCGCCTAAGATAGGCATGGCGCCTGGTGCTGGAATCACCCAACTGGGATAAAGCTTCTCTTGCTTGGTCCTGCAGGCATGGCATAGTTCTCTTGCTGGATCGATTGTTTTTTCTTCGTCCCTCTCTCGCTCGTCTGCAATCTTTCGATTTAGCGTCTCCCTCTTCAAACATCGCTATTAGGTGGGACGCCATTCGTACTACGAGCAAAAGGACGCTACTAGGGGCTCCTGGCCTTACTAGGAACAAGGACGCTACGAACGGAACAAAGGGCATCGCTACGAACGGAGCAAGGATGGTTGGAGGCCATCGAAAGTCCGGACCCATGAGTTGGAGACACTGCCAGGAATCACCCTTACAACCCGCATCCTCTGTGACCGGAGACTGGTCGTTGTGTACCGTTAACGTTTCATGGGACAGCCACCTCGGCACGGAGAAAGCCACGTTTGAAAAAAGAAAACATGTCGGAAAGCAAATGCGGGAATTTCAAAAAATAACCAAATGTGGTGACAAAAAGTGACAACTGAAACTTCTTCCAAAAGTGGTGTTGCGCTTGGAATCCAGACAGCTTTTCGTCACCCTTTTCAGGTGCTGCAGTCCATGAAGGTTTTCCCTCAATGGTCCTCAGCACATAAAAGCACACATGGACGGAACTGTATTTGCTCAATGTGTTCTTTTTCGGATGTCAAGCTGTTGGGAAAATCCAAGCCTAATAGCAACATCAGGAGGAGGGAGTTGCCACTGCAACCTGACACGGCGTCTTTCATCCGACTCCAGGAGTTTCATTTCATGATCACAACATGTTAGAAATTTGTCACATTTGTTTCTTTCAGAAACCCTTTTTTGGTTGGAAGTTCAATGGAACGCCCTGCTGCAATTGTTAGAGCGTGCTTTTTGCCAAAAGGTCGTCTCAAAGACTTTCCGCATCGCCGCGAAACATGTAAAATGTCCGCATCTGAACCGCGCAACCCATGTCATGTTTTTGTGCTAGTTGGGCCCACGATCCGAGAACCCAGCTGCCGAACGCATCTCGAATGATATTGGTCCTTTATATACACTCAACTATACACTCAAAACATATTCAAGGCAATTCTTTTGGGAGGACATTTTTCGGAGGTTTGGTCCGGCTCGGCACGCTTTGGAAAAAGATTTGGCCTAGCAATGTTCAGGCCTTTATGGCACAGCGGACTTTCGTGACAGAAAGGAGCATGTTCGGTGACTGGTTCTCAAACTACAAAGTTGAAGGACAATAAACTGGAGTGAATGCATGCCGGCCTAAACCTGCACCCTGTGGGTCTACGAATGAAGCGTTCGTTTTCCAAAGTGTGACAAAGGTGAATAGTTACGTTACCCTGAGTGGTCCCCACCCCAAGAGCCAATTTGGAACAAGTAGGGCGCATGGATTGACAGATTATCCCGGCAAAGGCTGCCTGACATGTGCATTGACACACTGCTCTGACGCTTGTTCTCGAACCAAGTCTGCTATGGATTTTGACGCGTATCTACCATAAAGGCTGGGAAATGTTCCAAGCTCTGCCCTGACGTCCTTGATGGCAAGTAACGGACATGTGTTCTGCATTGTTCTGCCATAAGCTCCGGCATTTGTTCTATCAAACTGGCACTTGCTCCTGCGAAAGGCTGGTTGTGGAGCCTTGGAACCCTGGATCTACCACGGGGCTGCGCTCCAAACCTTTTCACTAAGCGAGCTCGAAGTTCCCACCCTTCTGGGAGATATGGCGGCGGTGAATGGCAATCATGGGGAACAACTCATGAACAAGACATCAAATTCGCACTGGTGACATTCTTTGTTGCCTTCACCGGCCGCCAAGGTGCATTGGGGTCAAGGGAAGTGTCTGGATCCCTGGCCTCGGTGAGGGACACAGTAGGATTTTGTGCCCACTTCCTCAAGGCATCCCGCAAAGCGCTCGACCTTTTCGTCAAGGCATCAGCTTTCATCTCACCTGTTGGCACCCACCTCAAATTCCGGCAGGTAGAGCGCAAAGCTGCCACATCCATCTCCACTCTCTTCTCGCTGAAGGTCGTGGCCAGTCGGTGTATGGAATCATACAAGCTCCTGGCATCTGTGACAGGCCATACAGGAAATGGCGATCGGCTTGAATGCGAGGCCACATAGCCTTCAATCACCAGTTCGCCGAGCAAGCAGCCGATGAAGTTTGCGCTGTCCTCAGAGCGGTCCAAGCTAGCTGCCTCTGCTGCAAGCGTAGAGCGAAGAACCCTCTGATGCCGGAAAGATTTCCAGTCCAGCAGCGATGCCTCTGCTTCGCCATGGAGAGCTTCTTCGGTTGAGGCCAAAACCAAATAACCTCCCTGAGATTTTCCTCCTGGTGCGTTCCCGAATGCAGCATCTCCGTAGGAGATCAGGACCAGGTTCTCCAGGGGAATCGGTTTCACCATGATGTGGCTATCCGCCGTAGCCTTGATGTAGCGAAGCGTGGTGTTGGCATCCATAAGGTCCTGCAGAGTCAACTCTGCTTGTGCTTTCTGAAGGAGGCTTGTTTCACTGGCGATGTCAGGTCTGGTGGTTCCGCTCATCCACTGCAAGGAGCCAATTGCTGACCTGAACTCGCTCATGAGCTCTTGGTTGTTGCCGATGGGTTCATTGGCGTCGCCTTTCACGCGACTGACAAAAACATCAGCAGCGTAGTGGCTCTGTGACAGAGTGATCGTGTGGTTGGAGTGCTTCACGATCCTTCGTCCAATGAACACAAAGTCATTGACTTCCCACTCGCTGCCCCATGTGAAGCTGCCCTCAACCTCTTTCAACACACCTGGCTCCAAGGAACTGGCCAAAATGTCGTCGACATGTATACCCAGCACTGCAATGACCTTGGTTCCGTTGAGCTTGAGGAAGAGACAAGGGTCCAAGGAGTGGACCTGCCAGCCAAGGTTCTCCATGGTCTCACGGACATGGATGTACCAACGCCGAGGGGCGTTTGCAGCGCCGTAGACAGGAGCTGTCAGCTGGTAGAGAGTGTCAGGGGCATTGTTCCAGTCCTCGATGGCGGCCAGTGAGATGCCGTCCTGAGGGACCCTCATGTAAATCTTCTCGGGCCTCTCATCATCTGGTTTGCCTTGCAAAAAGGCGCTCTTGCAGTCACCGTTCACCAAATCAGTTCCCATGGAAGCCGCCCACTGAAGCAAAGCCATCAACCCGATGCGGCTTAAGACAGGAGCATCTCGAGATAGAAGAGGAAGGTGAGGATCACGAAATCCTTGGATCACAATGCGAGCCTTTGCCTTGTGGCTCGTGCCCCCGTCGATCGGCTTCCACCGATAGCATACCCGTGAGGGTAAGATGAGATGCTTCGGAATCGTACTAGGGTCACCGGTGAACTTGGTGCAAGAGCTCCACTTCTTCCATTCGTTCCATTCCTTGGTGATGGACTCGATGAAGGCAGGCCAGTCGGCCGCGGGAATGGGTCGCCAGGGAAGCTCACGTTTCAAAGCCTGGCGCTGAGTGCGCTTCAAACCGCCATCCTCCTCGTCCGAAGTGTCCTGCATCTTGATGTTGTTGGTGGTGCCGTTGAGCAGGTATGTCTGAAAGGTCTCGGCAGTCTCAGAGTAGCTGACCAAATTTGCTTGTGCGTCGAGCCAGTCTGCCAAGTGACTTGCCATCATGAAGTGTTGCTGGCCATCGAAAAGAGTTTGGCGCTCTGAAGGAGTGCCATCCCAGCCATTTTGTAGTGCTCCTTGTCGTCCATGGCGAAGGAGCCAAACTTGTTGAGGTTGATGATGACCATACAGCCTTCTCTGTTGCAGCAACGTTTCTTGGTCTAGCTTCTTTCTGTCACGACGAGGTGCGTGGTAGATGACCATCTTCTTGTTGAGGTCGAAGTCATTGACATCAAGGTCAGTCTCCACGTTGGCCAAAGTCAGCCAGCTCCATTGCTCCTCGGTCGTGGACCAGCAAGCTACACTTTTCAAAGCGGAGCCAGTAGTTGATGAGCCTGGCTCTTTGCTTGGACTTCGGTGGATCTCGTTGTTCTGCCAAGTGCCTGAGATCCAAGCTGCTTGTAGTTCTTCTTGTTGAGGAAGATGGAGGTCTTCAGTCAAAGCGAGTTGAGAGCTTCTCCAACTTCTGGTGCGGGAGTCAAACTCAACATCTTCGTCAAACCAACTTTGCACATCTCCAGGGTGGTCCGTGAATTCAAAACAAAGACATCGGCAGCACTGAAGTCTTCCAGAACACAGTTGCTTCTCCCGACATCCACAAAACTTGCAAAAAGATTTGGCACTGATCGTGTACGTCTCGTACTCAGTGAAGGAAACAGCATTGGTCTGATCCAAGGTCATCTCAGACGGAAGCTCATCACGAGGTTCCGGAGGAATGGGATCAGCCATCAAATCGTCGTCTTCAGGCACGGGAGGAAGCACCTCTGTGCCTTGAGAGACTTGTCGTGCCTGCACTGAACTCTGTCGTGAGAAGCTTGTTGGAAGGTCAGGAACATCTGAGGCTGACGATCTGACAGAAGGTGCGGCCGAGGTCTTGATTCGCTTAACATCCAAGGGCCCATCAGTAGCCGTAGAGCTCCTCCGTGATGCCACTGCGGCGTCTCGAGGTGACGCCGGTGCCAAGATGCCTGATGGCACAGATGCGGAGCTAGGCTCATCCAAAGGTTGCCCTGAAGCATCCAGAGGTTCCAGGACCACTGATGGAACAAGTGACGGTCTTCTAGAAGGAGCGGTCTTTTCAACCGGTGCATCGGCTTCGACTGGCAGAGGCTCTGGTAGTGCGGGTAGCTGAACAGGATCATGCTGTGGTAGAGGAGCAGCTTGATCATCAGGAGGGGGTAGTGCATCCCTCAAGTCATGGGCAGCTGCGTGTTTCTTGGAGAGATCTTGCTCAGCTGACCTCAAGATGGCTAGGTCCTGGTGATCTGGTATCCAAAGCTCTTGCCCTGCCAGGGTCCTTGCCTGTTCACGAGCAACTTGGACCAGCCGTCCCCTGTCGTTCCGCACCCAGAGGGAGCCGTTGACTCCGGGGTCGATGCCGACGATAATCCCCTGTCGGTATCCCGGTTGCGCGCCCTCGTTGTCCAAGTTGTTGCGAAGTCGGTAGTAGACGATCTTCATGCCCACTTCGAAGGGTCCACGCCACGGGCGGCTCTTACGGAGAATGCTCCGACGAAGCTGATCATCATTGTCGAAGGACAGGAAGGCTTGCAATGCAGCGTACCGAAGTTGCTCTGTCCGCTGCAGTTTGCTACTCAGTGAGGTCAATTCCATGGCCTCTGGATTGTCGGCTTCAGACAGTACGGAGGCAGGTAGACGTGGAAGTTGTCCAAAAACCCATTGAGCTGGGGCGCAACCAGCCCGTCGGGCCAAGGAGTTCTTGGCATGACATGCCATGACTGCACCAGTTGTCATGTCGTCGGCACCAATCAGCCCGTGCTCGTCGATGAGTTTGCGAAGGATGGCACGAGCTATGGCACCATGTCTCTCGCATTTGCCCAACTGATAGTGAGCGTCAGGTGGGACATATCTTACAGCCACATTGCTTTGCGCCATGAGCTCCTCGAAGGAAAAAGACTTGAGTGCACCTTCAACATCTATGAGCAAGGTTTCAGGAAGACCGAAGAACTGAAACCAGCCCTTGATCAACACCTGGTTGATAGTGCCAGACTCACGGTTTGGGATGAGGGTCAATGCCTGATAGGTGGTTGCCTCATCGAGCTGGTTCAAAAAGGTGAACGTCTCGCCAGCGGCGTCTTTGCAAAAGACCAAATCCAACATGAGCCGCTGATTGAACCGCTTGGGATCCACAGCTTTTGCAGGTCGGGCCTCTTTCAAAGGTTTGGCTCTCTTGCAAACACCACAACGAAGAGCTCGAGCACCGATCAGGGCGGCTGGTGCTGCACCAGCCTGAGCAAGCATGCGAACCATGACACTTTGTGGAGGGTGTCCCAGGTTGCTGTGCACACGTCGCAAAACTCCTTGCATCCACTTCGGAGTCTGGTCCTCACTGATCCCGGGAAAAGAAATGTCCGGAATCTTCCAGTCATCGACTGCTGTCTCCTCAGGTTCAGGTAGAGGAGGTGGAATTGAAGCTCGTGCACGATGTTGTGAAGAGCTCAAGGAAACTGGATCTCCATAAATGAAAATGCCAACTCTCACGTTCTTCTCAAAGCGGGCATTGGGGTTTGCCAAATCAGCAATCGATTCACTCTCGATGGTGATGGTGCCATCTGCAAACAAAAGGACCGCTGCTCGATAGGAGAAAGGCAAGTCCAGCATCCGCCTAGTTGGCAGGCGTCTCATCTTTGGAGTTCTGTAGATCTGGGTGTAGGCGATGCGCCAGGGTACCAGAGCCTTGATTTGCTCAAGAAATGCGCCCGGCTTGACTTCTGCGCTGACTGCCACTTTGCCCTCCAAGCGCTCTGCGGCCTCCTTCAGCAAAGGACGCCAAGCATCAATGTCCTGCTTCAAATCAGCATAGGGCTCTTCGGCCTCAGTCGTCTCCAACATGCCAGGTCTCGGAGTGCCTGGCATAGGTCGTGGAGTGCCAGGTGCTGGCACTGTCGTCGCAGGTGCCCGTGAAGGAGTCCGGGGCGCTCGAGATGAAGAGGAGGTAGGATAGCTGGTAGTAGACGCCGGCCATGAAGTAGAAAGCCTGAAGCGCTCGTCACCAGCGGCCTGCAGCAAGACCAGAAACTTGTCCACCACTGATTTGGCCAGGGTCCTGGTGTAGACTGCAGCCAATTTGGAGTTTGAACCCATGCATGGCTCATGCTCGTGGTTGCCGTTGCACTTGCAGTTCACAGCTTGCAGCAGTTCTGCTTTGTTGGTCAGCCACCCCGTGGGCTTACGGATCAAATGCCCATCCCTGCCACGGAGGTTATACATGCACATCTCGCCATAGTCATAGAAGAGCTGGTAATCGTTCATCAGCTTGACAATGGCGGGCTGTGACCAAAATTTGCCAGCATGAGGATTCTCCAAAAGGAAAAGGCGACCATCGTCAAGGCTGTTGCGAAGAAGTCGGGCAACACCTTCAACGGTCACTTGAGCTTCATCTCGAAGTTGAGCTAGCTCATCAGGCCTCCAGAAGTAGTTCAGGTTTGTCAAAGAACTCCAGAGGCGACATTCGGGTTCAACCACTGTGAGCAAGGGCTTCCAATATGACAAACTCTGAATCAACCAGTCGAAGTCCTCCTTGGTGTTCAGCTCAGTGCCAAAGACCTTGTCGACGGGTTGAAGAACTCTCAGTCCCTTGCCGAGGGCATACTCAGAGATGTTGCCATGACCAGCATAGATCTCCACCAGGTCTGCCTTGCTGCGTCGGAGCCAACGGCTTTGTTGAACCAAGGTGTCATAGATGCTCAGCTCAACCATCCAAAGTTGTTGCATCTGTCGAATGGTTCCGAGCAGCCGCTTCTGTTTGCCGGGCTTCAGCCATGTCAGGCCTCTGTCTTCAAACGTCAGGGGCCAGTCAGCTGAGCCATGGATCAGAGGCCTGATCCGTCCAGACTCATCTGCTCGAAGGTCTGCTCGGGGCCTTCTGTCTCCGCGTCGTTGTCCTCCAGGTTCCAAGCGAAGTCCTCCTCCTCCTGGTGGTCGTGGTCGGTCTCCCATGAGGCTGGACTCCACCAGTGGCCGCCACCAATCTGATCCCAGCTCATGTTCGAAGCCTGATCCGCCTCCATCTGCTGTCGCTGTGCTGCCACAGCCTTCGGCACCAAAAGCTCCAAGCGCTTCTGCACCTGCTCCTCCACTTGCTTGAGAGCATGTGCCTCCACCTGCTTGAGAAGGAGAGGATCCAGTCCCGGAGACGCTGTCGAGGAGGAGTCCTGATAGGAAAGCGAGGAAGGTCCCAAACCAGAAGGCCACTGTCCGGATAAACCAGCTTTTCCTGCGGACTTGCTCTGCGCTTTGCTTTTGGCCTTGGACTTGGAAGCTTTGGCAACATGGTCCGGCAGATCCAAGGGCGTCTTCGCATGTGGGCTGGCTTTTGGAGCCACTGGGACCATTTGTCCTTTGTGGACTACTGCTCGAAAACCGCACATGTCGCAGATCCTGGCAGACTGTCCGCCGGCCCCGTAAGCACGAAGTCCTCGTGGATGGCGACAGTCCTCTGGCTTGGCCTCGTAGGTGGTGAGGTTGAGCGAGGCCTGCACCGATGACAAAGCTACGGTGCTCATCATAGTCACTGCCGTACAGGGTGGCATCTGCTGCAGCACACGGTCCCGAAGATTGGGGCTCATCGAGGTTGCGGCATAACCCAACGCCGTCCTCAGCACCTTGTTCATGAAGTTGAAGAGGTGTGTCAGCAGCTGCCTCCATCGACGAAGCCATGACGGTGGAGTCTTGCCCTGCATCAGCAAGTGGGGGTCTTTGCAAAGGAAAGCAAGCGCTGGGCAAAGCTGAGGCTTGAACAGGTAGCGCTGCGGGAGCCCAAATATCAGGCAAGTTCTGTTCATCATCAATCCCTTGCATGGTGCAGGGCCATGACGGCATAGTTGATGGCCATTCGTCGATTCTCACAGCCAGGTGTCCGCAGCTGGTTAGATAGAGGGGTGACTTCGTTTGGAGGGCTTGGTAGATGACTTCACCCCGGCAAATGTCGACCAAACCATCCAAAGTGGCGAGGGTGTTCCGAGACATGAGGGCCGGAGCATCATCTGAAACACAAGAGAAAAACAAAACAGTGAAGTGTCCTCCCATGCCCGACGGATATGCATACCGGGTAGTCGACGAAGTTCCCCGATTGGGCCCAAACTTGAACTGGCATTTCTCCGGAAAGGCAAGTCGTGGCATCTGCAAAAGCTCGTGGTGAGCGGCATGCCAATGCTTCCCGGCAACTTGTCGTTGACAGCCGGTGTCAATGATCACCAACGCAGGTTCTTGGCTGTACTGAACGTACGTGGTCATCGAAGGAATGGTCACGCTCAGTGATGGCGGAAGCTCTTCAGTCTCTCCTTCTTCGTTCGGTGCTTCCGGTTCCAAAGCAGCGCATGAACTCGCCGTCTGAGGAGTCAAAGTGGTCTGTGAGGGGGTAGGCGAGGAGGTAGTGACAAGCACTGAAGCATTCGCCTGTCTCAACAAACATGTGGCGCTCGCTGCTCCAGAAGGATGTCGGAGCAGCCTCACCGAGGGCTCTCGCCTTGGCATGCCAGAAATGTCATCGCTCGAAGGCCATTCCTCAAACAAACGAATCCGCGGCGGGTCCGAAAGGGGAGCCCGAGGGGCTAGGTACGGTGTTCCCGCCAGGGTCACCGGTGAGACATGAGATGAACCTACCGGCAGCCTATGCTCTTGCGGTCCTTGGGTCCGCGTCCCTGGGCCTCTTGCCTCTTGCAGTTCTTGGGTCTGCTTCCCGCTATTGTGTTCTTGCGGTTCTTGGGTCCGCACCCCGCTATTTTGTTTCCGTTCTTGCGGTCCTTGGGTCCGCGCCCCTTTATTTTGTTCTTCTTGTTCCAATCGCCTCAACTCAGAAAGGCAGCCCTCAGCTTCCAAACGCCAGAAATAGGCGTCATCCAGAGCATCCATAAAGTCCTCTGGGTCGCCCTGGCTGGACGATGGCGGTGGCGTATCACACGAACGCCACTCGGAGCTCGAAGGGCCGGTCACGGCCGTGTGGAAGGAAGGTGCCGCTGAGGATGCTGCTTGGCGCTCAAGAAATTCATTGGCCTGATGGGCCTCCATCTGCCATAGAGTCCACTCATCAGCAGCATCCAGGGCGTCGTCTGGATTCATGCCTTCGGGCAAAAACTCTTCCAAGCCATGGGTCGCCAAATCATCTTCTGCGTCGAGCGGCATCTTGTTGTGGCCAACCATCCAAACAACCATCCCCTCACCGTCAAGAGTGGTGGAGGATGCACAAACATGAGCCTGATGCTGAGTCACATGGGGGCAGTCCCTCAACCAATGCTCTGACGAGTCGCAGCCAAGGCACAAACTGGCTTGAAGACGGTGTCGTTGGGTGGAGGATTTGTTCTTTCCACCACCTTTCCCAGAACCCTTGGTGCTACCTTTGGAGGGTTTGCCCAAACCTTTGCCCTTCTGGAAGGAGGTTGATGAGGATGAAGAAGAACCAAAACCCTTCTTACCATCGCCCTTGTCTTTTCCCTTCCCACCACCACCTTTGCCCTTACCTTTCGCAGCAGCCGAAAGGTAGTAGCCACGTGACTGAGTGGCTGATGCCATCTTCTTGCTGGTGGCGGTGAGGGCCTCAGCTTGCTCTTCAGGCCCGTCATCATAGCCCTCTTCAGGGGCTTGCTCAGGAAGGCCCTCCTCAAGGTCGGCCTCATAGTCATCGAACTGGTACTCGAAGACATCGTCCAACAGGTCATTGGCATTCTCCAGAGCGATGTCATTCGAGATCTCGTAGGCCTCATAGCCGGTGAAGGTCTCAGGGACGGTGTTGTCCTCAGGCATCTCATCTTCTTGGGCCTCGGTGTGCCAAGTTCGCCACTTGAAGCTCCCACCAGATCGACTTCGTCCGCGGCCGTGGTTGCCCCGGCCTCGACCCTTGACGTGGGTTGAGATCGCAGTGGGATGTCGTGTGAGGCCAGTCAAAGTGAGACCTGGAGGATATTGCACCTTGAGGGCATTGAGGATCGCGTCCATGTCATAGCGATTGCCGGCCGCGAGAAGCAACTGCGAAGTGGCCTGTTCGCTCAAGCGAAGACCGTCCAACAGCTTCACTGCCCTCGTCTCGGAGGGATAGGCAGCAATCTTCGCGTCCTGGAGCTTCCTCTCGTACAGCTTGTAGCGTCGTACGAAGGCGTCGACGCTCTCACCCTGCATCCTCGAGAGGTTCTCGAACTCCCGGATCAGGCCACCTCGGCGGTAAATCTCGCGTTCACCAAAGGCGACCTCCAAGTCCTTGAGAAGGATCTCGATGCCATCATCCCGGAAGTACTTCGAGTCCGGGATCTCTTCCACCTCAAGCGCTGCATCTCCAGTCAATGCGTCCAGCGCTCGAAGTGCCTGCTCGCTCTTGGGGAGGTACTCGGATGTGATCAAGCACCACCGCTCAAGAGCCCGCCTGTAGTGGCGGAGACAGTAAGGGTCTCCTTCCACATCTCCTGCAAAGGCAGGAGGTGGGGGTATGTGGCCTGAGCGCCATAGGTCTCGGAGTCACCTGTTCCACCATGATCCGCGCCACCAGCCTCGTAGGCCGTGAAGGCTGGGTCAACAGGATCAGCATCCCAAGCGCCGGCTGCTTCATCGATCTCCTCGAGGTCATCATCGAGGTCCTCATCGAACATCCACATGGCAGCTCAGGAGCGCAACAGCCGTGGACCAGCTGTCGCTACCAATGCGAAAGGCTGGTTGTGGAGCCTTGGAACCCTGGATCTACCACGGGGCTGCGCTCCAAACCTTTTCACTAAGCGAGCTCGAAGTTCCCACCCTTCTGGGAGATATGGCGGCGGTGAATGGCAATCATGGGGAACAACTCATGAACAAGACATCAAATTCGCAGCTCCGACATATGCTCTGACATAGTTTCTGACATGTGATCTGGCACCCTACATGCCAAAGCTACGGGAATTCTAACTGGCATCCGTTCTGGCATATCTTGTGGCGTTCTACCTGACATATGGAAGTGGGCCAAAAAAGCGGGAACCCTGCTTGACCGCCAAAAATGAACAGAACAAACAACCAGGGAGATCAAACTACCCAGGGTTTGGAGCTCCAAGTTTTAACCCACGGCCATATCTTCTGACATCCTTTCCGGCATTCTACCCGGCACATCTTCTGGCATATCTCGTGGCATTTGGCATTCCTTCTGGCATTCTCTATGGTGTGCAGGTCCGTGCGTGCCCAGTTTGGCTAGGTCTTCTTGTTGGTTTGCAAGTCCACGCGTTCTCAGACTATGAGCTGACACTCGCTGTGACATGAGGACATGGCAGGAGGAGAAGGAAGGAGAAGGAAGCAAAAGGAGTAGTACCTTTTTCATTGGGGAACAACCAAGAAAGGTCTTTAAAAAGGGGAAGGTCTAAAGGTCCAAAGAAAACAGGAAACACAAAAAAAAAAGGAACGAAACGCTCGCTCACACGAAAGGCGGTGGCCATACGCGCACCTGTGGCACCCGAAAAACGCATGTGGTGCCCAAGCCCGTCGCCCTGTAGCGCCTGTAGTAGGACGATGCCGCTTCCAAGGCTTCGTGCACGACCAGCTGCACTGTGTCCGGGAAGAAAGCAGAAGATTCTACGTAGCACCAGCCACCAAAACCTCAAACTATGCAATTTGTTGTGCAGTCTTGAGAAGAATAAACAAGCCGGTTTCAAGCTGCTCACTATCAGTCCATGCTTCTCTTGTTGAGGCAAACACGTTTCACGAGCTCCTCAGCTGCTTCAGCAGGGACCTGTGAAAAGGAATTCAGGGAAAGCGCTGTGCCAACCTCAACCGAATCCTTTGTTGCTTCAAACTTGCACAGCACTGCTTTGCTTAGTTTATTATCATTGTCTATTTTCTTACTTTATTTAGTGTTTGTCCTTTGCTTTCTGATTTGTTCATTTATCGTCATTGTGTCTCTATTTTGTGTCTTGCTACAGTATTCATTTTTTGTGTGTCAAGTCGTCTCTCTAAGACGCATACTGCAGTCAAATCCCCTGTCACCTGACGGACATATTCTTCACACACAGCAATAAAAATAGCAATGAACAGCCATGTTACGTTTATGTTTCAAGAAGCTTCTAGAACAAGTGCATCGCTACTAGTAACAAGTGCCTTACTAGTAGTAACAAGGACGCTAGTATTTATCCATATTTATCCTTTCTCTTGTTTATCTTGGACCTTTTGACCTTTCTTCCCTTCGCCTTTTCCTCCTATTTTCCTTCACTGTTCTCTGGAGTGAGCTGTTCATTCGAATTGAAAAACAATGCACTGCAAATACATAGACGGGGTGACAGCCCAAACTTTAAGTAGTGAAATATCTTGAAGTGGCACAGGCATTTCAAACCGAGTGAAAGCGCAACTCCACAACCCAATCCACTGCACCTTGCAGCGCTCACGGATATCAGTGGCTAGAGCAACAAGGAGCCATGGTGCTTCCACCTGCATTTCCCAAAGTTTGGGCCTGAACAAGCACAGAACGGACAATCAGTGCTCTACATTGCAGAGAAAACTGCCTGGTTTGTTGGTATGGTGGTTCGACAAAACGGTCACTTTTGATTCAATCAATAATCTAAGATTCAAACAACCAATGCTTCTCGATGCTTACCAAAGTGTCTGGTCGGTCGGGTCGGAAACACAAAAGAATCACCTCAACAAACAAACACAACAACACCGTGTGGTGTACTTTACAAAGTTTGGCTTTATACTTGCAAACATTCGTCAAATACTCTCTCGTTTGCGTAGCCGGCCAATTAGGGCTGGAACATGAGCTGAATGGATTGCAGCGTCTCGCATTGCATCAAACTTGGCTCCTCATGTGGAGTGGCTTAAAAGCACAATGTTGAAATTCAACATTGGTTGACAAGTTTGCCTTGGAACATCTTGGACACCGTTCTGCACTGGTCCCTTCTTCTCTTGCATTTTGGGATGTTTATGTTGAAGTTTCTGGTTTCCCGTTTCACATTCTTTTGTTGCTGTTACGAACAAGCTGAACACATCCAACAGGCCATGATATGATCCGAGTGCAATAAAGGGCTGAGCTGTCGTTCTGTTCTGTTCTTTATCGGTTTCCCATCGTTTATCCCATCTCTTTCCCTCTTCCCATTCCACATTTCTTTTGTCGTTTCCATTCTCCGTCCATTCTTTCACACCGTCCTGATGCACCGTCCGTAAATCGCACCCGGCAGGGCTCACCATCAAAATCCACCGAGGCCACCTTTCGGTCCGGGGATAGTCTTGGTCCAGTTCTCCGGAGAAGGAGCAAGGACGCTACTAGGGGCTCCTGGCCGTTCTACTGGGAACAATATTTTGGAGCAAAACGTTTCAAGTAATCCAGCTGATGCCTAATGCATCATAAACCATGTAGGCGGCTTTTCTCCCAAGAATTTCAAGAACAAACCCCTCACATCCCCTCACTGAAAGGAATTGATGCTATGACATGGCTTCGTAAACTATGAAAGATGAAGTTTGAGATGATAATTCATGAATATGCAATGCAATTTGATACGCGCACCAGCTCTTGCGTTTGGCCACTATTTCAGGAATCTTGCATGCATAGAAAGTGCAGGGCATGTGGTCGGTCTTTGGCTACAACGGCCTATTACTAATTTTCCAGGTGGACACGGCTCTTCTTCTATAGCCGGCATTGTCTTCATCCTGGGTCGCTATCCCTTGTGGTAGAATATGCAGCAAGAAAGCAGTGCTTGGACAAACAAATCAATTTTGAATTTAACAATCTTACTTTCACGTGGCGAATAAACAGTATGTTCATAGGTTTTAGCTTTTGATACGCAGTGTGCCGCTGGGCAGGTGCGACGGGAGTATGTCAAAAACAATGAAGTCTTTTCACTTTGAGTCTTTGAAACTGTTCTTCGCTACTAGCTAGGAGCAAGGGGCATCGCTTCTAGGAGCAAGGACGCTACTAGGAGCTTTTTCATACAGTCCACCTGCAAAAAACTCACCTTGACTTTGACCGGGGGAAACCCTCAAGAGGGACCTCATTAAGAAGTTCAAGCCAGCTCTCGCTTTTTGTCTGGTTCGATTGAACTAATAACGAAAAACAACGCAACAGCTAGACATGCTCTTACATGCACCTCAGATCCGCAAATTCAATATGGAAACATGCTGAACTGCAGTCACATCATGTCGATTGTCTTGAAATTATTTCAAGCGCTCTTGGGTCGCTACAGTACCCGACTCGTAGGGAGCTTAGACACAGAGCAACCGAGACTGAACCGACCTAATAGCGATGGCCTCCACCTTAGTAGCGATGGCCTCCATCCTAAGAGCGAACGCCTCCAACCTAATAGCGATGGCCTCCTACCTAGTGGTCCACTCATTCCATCTCTCATTCCGAGTTCTCATTTTCTTATTTCTTGTTTCTAATAGCTTCTTGTTACTAGTAAGGCACTTGTTACTAGTAGCGATGCACTTGTTACTAGTAGCTTATTGTTTCTAATAGCTTCTTGTTACTAGTAAGGCA